ATTGGACTTCCATTATCAGCTAAGAAAAATGACGCTGTCTGGGTAATTGTTGATCGATTAACCAAGTCATCTCATTTTATTCCTATTCGACGCGATATGTCCTTGAAGAAGTTGGCAGAGTTGTACATCCGTGAGATTGTAAGATTACATGGTGTACCTTTGTCTATCATTTCTGATCGTGACCCGCGATTCACATCGCAATTCTGGAAGAGTTTGCAGAAAGCCTTAGGTACTAAACTTAACTTTAGTACGGCATTTCATCCTCAAACTGACGGACAATCTGAAAGGACAATTCAAATTCTTGAAGATATGATGAGAGCATGTGTAATTAATTTTGGAAGCAACTGGGAACAATACTTACCGCTAATGGAGTTCGCGTATAACAACAGTTATCAAGCGAGTATCCAAATGGCCCCGTACGAAGCTTTGTATGGGAGACGTTGTAGAACCCCAGTATGCTGGACAGAATTAAGCGAGCAAAAGCTTGAAGGACCTGATCTCGTTCGCGAAACTGAAGAGAAGGTTCGTCTAATCAGAGAAAGATTGCAGGTGGCTTCCGATCGACAGAAATCTTATGCCGATTTAAAACGTCGGGAAATCGAATATAATGTTGATGACAATGTGTTTCTGAAAGTCTCACCGTGGAAGAAAGTGCTACGTTTCGGTAGGAAGGGAAAACTAAGTCCGAGATATATTGGACCCTATCGAATCACTGAACGTGTGGGTCCAGTAGCATATCGGTTAGAACTTCCACCAGAATTGAACAAGATCCATGACGTATTCCATGTATCGATGTTGAAAAGATACGGTTCCGATCCATCGCATATCTTGACTGAGGGAATTGTAACTCTTGATGAACAATTAACTTATGAAGAGGAACCTGTACAAATCTTAGCACGAGAGGTCAAACAATTGAGAAACAAATCTGTACCCTTAGTCAAAGTACTATGGAGGAATCACTCGACTGAAGAGGCAACATGGGAAACTGAAGAGTCAATGAGGATACAATATCCGAATCTCTTCAACCAACGACTCAGGTAATTTCGAGGACGAAATTATTTTAAGGGGGAGAGAAATGTAACGCCCCGAAACATACCCTAGAATTATTATTAAATAATTATTCGATTAAACAAATTTGTTTTGATTATTATTGGGCTTTGGGCTGATATGAAATATTTTTTTTATATCCAATATCAAAATCTGGATAAGTCTAATTGAGATAAATCCAATATGTGGAGTATTTGTGTGGTCTTGATTGGGAACCTGAGTACAGACCCAAATCATAAATAAATAAATTAATTAATTATGATGTGAACTTTGTAATGATTTATTGAAATAAATCATGAGATTAATTGATATGAATTAAATGAGAGAACCTTTTATGAGAAAAGTCAATTAAACCAATTTTGACTCTGTTAAAGTCAAACACCCAAAAATATGATGTCGGAAAAAGTATTACAAATAAATATAAAAATTATATCGTTAGATAGAGTTTAACTGCCCGATCGCAACGGTGCAAACGGAATTCAATTCGGAGAAAGTTGGACCAAAAAAGTGTACCCCGACTGGAACCAAAATTGGTCCCAATCAGGGACACTGTGCGAACGGCGCCTCCTTCCCCACTACGCCGATCACAGAGTCACCATAGTTGTTCTCTTCTTCTCTCCTTCTCATTTTATAAGAAAACCCAACCTTCTCATTTCTTCACCATTCTTCTTCATTCTTCTTCCATTGTGTTCTTGAGAGTGTAAGGAATACTGTGGTGCTGCCAATTTGGTGTGAGGTCGCCGGAGTTGAGAGTAATCATCGCCGGAAGTTTCGCCGGAAAATATCCAAAACCTTCGATTATCGATTCATAGGGTGGATTATCGATTCTTGTGTTCTGCATTAAACTATTTATAGTTTAAGGGCCTGGTTAGAAATGTTGCCTTAGACTGGGAATAGCTAAGAGCTTGTTATAAAATGATTTGGCCTTAGATTAAGAATAATTTAAGAGCATGGTTGAGATATTGAATATCAAATGACTTGGAATAAAATATTGAGAATATCATG